TGAAATTAAAGCTTACCTAACTGTAAAATGCTGAGGAGAGTAAAGATTGAACTTTAACAGTTCTAACTGTGGGGAGCTCTGTAATCCAGAACGCACTAAGGCCCTTATTTGCTGCCTAGATAACTCTCTAGAAATATTTGCTCTTTTCTGGGAATGTATGTCAGTGATGTTAAGATGATTCTACCACTTCTTATAAAAGGAGACTACTGCCTGATTGTTGTCATATAAGTAGGATCACAGGAGGTTGCAACAAGGAAATTACAGAATGTTAAAAGAGACTTAGAAAGATGCTAAAGTGATTGTAAGCACAAGTGATGTCCTCCTGACCGGAAGCTGGGTCCTGGAAAGAAGGAGGAGAATAGATCCAGTAAATGACTGGCTGAGGGGGTGGTATTAGGATCAAGGTTTGGGGTACTATGATCTCGGAAAGGCCTTTTAGAGTCCAGATATGTGGGTGTCAGACAGAGTGCAACTGAATAAATGGGGCATAAGTGTTCTGGGGAGAAAACAGGCTGGATTGGTGACTAGAGCTCTGAACTAGATTCAGTGTGGGAAGGTGGTGGAGTTTCTTGTGACAGAGAAGGATCTGAGAACACTCTCTTTCTAGTAAACTATGGAGAAAAACCTCTCAATTGTCCAATAGGTTCTTGTGAGGACTCTTCATAGAAGATAACATTGCAGTAGCCCAGCTTAAGCATTCTTGCATCCCTCTAGAGATACCTGCACCCTCTGCTTCCCTAAAGTGCCTGTATACAAATGAATGCAAATTAACAGGAGAAATTAGAGATCTGTGAGTGGTTAAAGGGCCATGATCTCATTGTGGTCATGGAGACGTGATGGTGCAGCTCACATGACTGGAATGCTGTTATAGACGGCTATGTTCACTTTAGGAAAGACAGGCTGGTAAGGTGAGGCGGTGGAGTTGTTCTTTATGAGAGAGAGCAAGTAGAATGTATGGAGCTACACTTGATGGGAACGATGAACAAGTGGAGAGCTTGTGGGTTAGAATTAAGGGGTAGGCTAACATCAGTGATACTGCTGTGTGTGTGTACTACAGGCTGCTTGATCAGAAGGAGGAAGTGGATGAAGCCTTCTACAAACAGCTGGAAGTAGTCTTGGAATCCCCGTTGCTGGTTTTTATGGGGTACTTCACCCATCCTGGTGTTTGTTGGACAAACAACATGGCCAGGAACACAAGGTCTAGTTGGTTACTGCAGTGCACTGATGATAACTTTCTGATGCAAGTGGTAGAGTACCTGAAGAGAGGGGGTGGGCTACTTGACCTTGTTTTTTACTCAGAAGGGCAGAACTGGGATGTGAAGGTATGGGACAACTTGGGATGCATCAATCCTGAGATGGTAGACTACAAGATTCTGTGTGGAAGAAGCAAAGCAATGAGTAGGATTGCTATCCTGGACTTCAAAAGAGCCAATTCTGACATCTTTAAAGACCTACTTGGAGTGTTCTATGGGCTAGAGCATTGGAAGGTAAAGGGGCTCATGTGAGCTGTTTGGAATTTAAACACCATTTCTTCTGAGCTCAAGATCTGTGTAAGAAATCGGGGAAAGGTGGCAAGAGGCTTGCATGGAAGAACAAGGAACTCATGGATAAAATGTAAGGAAAAAAGAAGATCCGTGGAATGTGGAAGAAGGGCCTGTCCACCTAAGATTCTAGGGATGTTGCCAAACCCTATAGGGATGCAATGAGGAATGCTAAGGCCCTCTTGCAATTATCTCTTGCAAAGGAGTTAAAGGATAACAAGAAAGTTTTTTTTTCAAGTGTGTCAAATGTAAAAGGAAGAGTAGGGAAAGTTGGGTACCCTACTAAGAAAAGCGAGTGCCCTAGTAACAGGGGACACTGAAAAGACAGAGATTCTGAATGTCTACTTTGCTTCAGTCATTAATGCTAAGACTAGCCCCGAGGAATCCCAGACAGTAGAGGTAAAAGAGAGAGTCTGAGGAAAGGAAGACTTCCCGTTAGTCAAGGAGGATCAGATCAGAGAATGTCTAGCAAAAATCAATGCACACATGTTCTGAGGGAGCTGGCAGAGGTGACTGCTGAATCACTCTATCATCTTTGAAAGATTTTGGAGAACAGGAGAGGTGCTCAATGACTGGAGGATATTCAGTGTTATTCCGGTCTTCAAAAAGGTCAAGGATGATCTGGGAAACTACAGGCCAATCAGCTTCTCTTCTGTCCTTGGAAAGGTGATGGAACAAATTCTCCAAGCAAGTGGAAGAGAAGAAGGTTATCAGTAGTCAACATGGATTCATCAAGGGGAAATCATTCCTAACAAACCTGTTAGCCTTCTATAATGTCATTACTATTTGAGTAGATAGAGAGAGAGCAATGGATGTTGTGTACCTTGATTTCAGCACGGTGTCTGACACTGTCTCTCACCACATCCTTCTTATCAGACTTAGGAAGTCTGGGATAGATGAGTGAATGGTGAGGTGAATTAACAACTATCTGACTGGCAGAGCTCAGAGGGCTGTCATCAGCAGCTCAGAGTCTGGTTGGAGGCCTGTAATTAGCAGTGTCCCCCATGGATCAATGTCAGATCCAGTTTTGTTCAATATATTCATCAACATGGACGGTAGGGCCCACCTTCAGCAACTATGCTGATGATTTGAAACTGGGAAGAGTGGCTGGCAACCTGGAAGGTTGTGCTACCATTCAAAAAGACCTGGACAGACTGGAGAGTTGTGAAGGAAATAACCTGATGAGGTTTAACAGGAGCAAGTGCAGAGTCTTGCACCTGGAGAGGAATAACCACATGCATCAGTACAGGTTAGGGGATGACTTGATGGAGAGGAGCTCTGTGGAGAAGGACTGGGGGGGGTCCTGATGTATTAACAGGTTGGCCATGAGCCAGCAGTGTGCCCTGGTGTCCAAGAAGGTCAATACTATCCTGGTGTGCATAAAAAAAAGCATGGCCAGCAGGCAGAGAGAGGTGATCCTCCTCCTACTACTCTGCCCTGCCAGATGTAGAATAACTGTGTCCACTTCTGGGCTCCCCATTTAAAAAAGGCAGGGATCTTCTAGGAGTCTAGTGGAGGGCCACAGAGATGATAAAGGGCCTGGAGCTTTTCCCGTGTGAGAAAATGCTTAATAAACTGGATCTGTTTAGCCTGGGGAAAAGAAGATGGAGGGGGATCTGATTAATATTTATAAACATTTGAAGGGAGGTGGGAGGCAAATGGATGACATCAGGCTCTTCTTGATGGTGTATAGTGATAGGACAAGGAGTAATGGCCTAAAAATTGTACATAGGAAGTTCTGTACTGACTTGGAGAAGAACTCCTTTATGTAAGGGTGATGGAGCACTGGAACATGTTGTTCAGAGAGTTGTAGACTCTTCTTCTATTCAGATATTCAAGACCGATTTGGATGCCTATCTGTGTGAGTGCCTGCTTTAGCAGGGGGTTGTACTCAATGACCTCTTGAGGTCCCATCCAATCCCTATGATTCTGTGATTTGAGAAGAATGAGAAGGGGCCTCTAGAAAGATCAGATAGCTTTTACTTACAACAAAGTCTCCTCAACTAATGCCAATTTAAGCAAAAGGGACCTTCAACCTATGAACTTTCTAGGTAAAACTCCTGGAGAAGAAATCTCCAGAAAGGATCTGAGCATGAAATCCTAACTAAACAAACCCCCTTTCTTTGTGGGTATTCATATTTGCCTAATTTGTAAGGATGATATGAGAAGATGGGTGAGTATTAAAACTGAATAACATGTAAAACTGAATAACAATTTTACAGGGAAAATTGCTGGAGAATTTCCATCTATTCATTTAGAAAACATCAATATTAGGCTCTTTCTTTCTTTCCTTCTTTATTTGAGAAGGAATATCTTTCATTTAGAGATTTTTTTTTACCTATTTGCTCAGTCCTCTCTCTGACGTGATTTGCTTGAATAAAATGTATATCTTAGATTATTTAACACTTTTATAATACTTATTTTTGTCCCATCTTTTAACTATATTTTCTGTTCAGTGTTGTTACCCTCCATGTTTTGCTAAGGCCTCATTTCCCATCTGATCTGTGCTCAGAAAACTGAGCACTGAGTCTGTTTTCATGACCTAGATAATATGCATAGCTTTCATAAACAGGAAGTACTTGGCATTGTAACAAGTTTTTCCAAGTGACCACAGTTTTCATTCAAAATGTAAAGAAAACATCCTCAACAATATTACACAGTTTTAAATCTCATGTAATGTTTATCCTTTGAAGGGTACCCACAAAATTCAAATTCTTTGTTTGTATGCCTGTTCTCAGAGTGTGTGGAAGTATTAAGAGTTATGTCTATTTGCTACTCCATATTTACTGTTATTTCATGAAGAAAATTTTAAGCAATAGAACTTCTAATTGTAGTTGTCTGGGCAGCATGAATAATCATCACACTGTTTTAAAAATGGATGTTTCCCAAATAAGGAAGACTGAAATTGTTTGAATAAACTCATGCAGAAAAAGAAGGCCTAGCTCTGTTTGAACTGACATACTACTCAGTGATACAGAAATAGATGATATGTTTAATCTGAAGTGGTTACTTGTAATCAGTATTGTATGAATTTTGTTTCTTGCAGGTTATCAACTTGTTCCAGAATTATGTCTGCTTAACCATGTTTCATTTTACATGTTTGTTTATAGTCCTAAATTGATTAGCCTTTCCTATGGGTAATTAGTCCATTATTTTTGTATCTATTGTTTTAACATCCACTCATTCAAGATGTGGCTGTTGTCAGGTGGCAGAATATCCCCTACTCAGCAACATATGCAAGTAATTTTTGTCATTCTGAAATTGTCATTCACCCCAAATGCTTAATAGAAGCATCCAGCAGAGCTCTCTCCACTGCAGAAGGACACATTAATCTCCTATTTTAGGATTTGTTTGCAGCACTTTGTATCAATAACATCAGTTTCTGCAGCAAAGATTAGGTATCTCTTCTAGATTATCTGGCATGGCATGAATCGTATTTCTTTCAAGGGAGCAAGCTTGTTCCAGTTAAGCCTCTTTATCTTTAATGCAACATTCATTAATGCTGAGGTTCTACAAGATCCCATTTTGGGACCCATACTGTTTTGTAATTATGTATTTCCCTGAGGCAGTATCAGATTGGACTCATTGTTTCCAGCATCTCATGCAGATGATCCTCAGATTTGCCTTTTTCTATTCCATCCTAAATGGAATGCTAACGAGACAGAGTAGTTACTAATTGGTCCATCTCTAGGTCTCTGCACTCCTCACTCATTGCTTCTATAAATAGATGCTCCATTTTCCCTGTTGCCAAGGCTAGTAGCCTTGGTGATAAAAGAAGAAAGGGGGAAAAACTGAGTCCCTGAAAAACAGTGAAGATGTCCTAGGTGAGATGTAAGCATTTATAAGAGAGCTGAACTTGTTTTACTGGAGTCCTTATAACGGAACAGATAGGAATAATGTTAATAAAAATAATACATAGCAATGACTGGTAGGACTCAAAGTATAAAGGGAAAAGTGGACTATCTGCAAATATTACTTACCATCCTAAGAAACTCTATGGGCTGTAAAATATTTTTGCAGCTAATGGATTACAGTTTAAAGAACCATTCCTCAGGCCATTGTGTCTAATCTACGGTCTCAAAGGCATAGAAACAAGTAGAAATGTAAGTGTGACACAGAAGGTGACAATGCAGCCCTCTGCAGTGTGACATCATAGCAGCTTGATTCTGACGTGGAGTTTTTTTGACAGTGTAAGCTAAAGAGGCTAGAAAATGATAGTCACTAGTCAGGAAAGATGCAGAGAGAGTCCAGTGTAGAGCAACAGGGTTGCAAAAACATAAAGATAGATAAACTGCATCAAACAGTCCATCTCATTCAGTATTCCCGACACAAATGAGCAGTGATTGTTTAGAAAAGAGGGTAAAAATTAGGTTTAGAACAAAATGCCTCTCAATGTATTTCTGAACTTGTAGTAAATTGGAGTTTAGGGAATTCCTGAATTCGAAGCTGTCTCACGATCATATTTTTTAGTTGCCATTTTTGTTTAAATGTTGAAGGTGAGTTAATTATTTTCTGGGGGGCAATATTAATACTACTGATATTTTTATCTACCACATCCTTCAGCAAGGAGTCCCAGGGGAAAGCTTTCTATTAGTAAGGAGAAAATGAAGCTCTGGAAGAGACTGTAACTTGTGGTGATCTTTTAGTTTATGTCTACGAGAAAAGGATGGACAACTACTTGTCTGAAACAATATAGTGACTTGGACAAGCAGATGAATTACTTTGTATTTTACTGTTGTTCTGGGATGTTTTCTTTGTCAATTCTCAAAAAACCCTCTCCAAAACCCTAAACTGTTTCTCACCTCATATCCTCTGAAATCAGTTTAGTTGTTCTCTCCTCTCTTCCCTCTGCTATATTTTGCAATGATGCTGCAGCAGTTTGAGACAACAGACCATGTCTTAAATCTTGCCTTATAAATTTAACACCAAGGAGATACCACTCACAAAGAGGACAACTTCACTTGATCAGACACTGCCAGAACTGTATCATTTTGATACTTTGTACATTGCCAATAACTAAAGCTGTGAGGCAGACAACAGACACAACTGCTGTGTTGAGAAAGATTTATAGTAATATTCATAAAGGATGAACTTATTAGCTTGTTAGATAAATGTCTGTTAGGGAGTAGCCAAGATCCATGGGTTTTTAGAAGCAGATCTTGTCAGAAGCATGTGAAAGGATTAATCAAGCAAGTGGGACAAAGAGATTAGAGACTGGGGATGCTATAGATCTGATTGACTGAGATCTGAGTAAGGCTTTGGTAAAGTTTCACAGAAGTTGATAAGCAAATTCAAGAATACCAGAGTCAATGAGAGGATGGTAAAAATGGATGAAAAACTGAAAAGAAGAATGCTGCATAAATGAGCACAAACTGACTTAGAGAATAGGAACAAGTAAAGACTCCCGGATTCATTCATTTACCATTTAGAAAATACTCCAGGATTTATTCAGATGCTTACTCACACTGAGCATATGTCCACTATTGCAGGGAAATGGCTGGAGATGCAACAATGTAATATACTTCTACATCTGAGGAAATTTTCTGTTCCCCCATGAGAAAGAGAGAGAAAAGGAGCCAACAGAATGCAATTTCTTTCATTTCAAGACATAAATATTGAACAGACAAATCCATTTTTAGAAGTGCTTTTTACCTCTGAAGTATGTGTGACTGACTTTTGAACGTAAACATGGTTGGCATAAACTGAAAGCAAGATGAAATTACTCCAGTGCTTTTTCATCTCATTTTTTGCCAGTTATATATAAGAGTAACTGCTCTGACTTGTGCTACTACTTTAATTCCCTCTTTTGAAGGATTTCCCCTTTACACCACCTTAAAATGCCCTTTCTCAGTAAGAGTTCTGTCTTTCAGTTTACCTGCCAGTTTTCTTTCAGTTTTTAAATACCGAACTGTGAAGGCAGTATGTGACCTTACAGAGGTGCACTGCCCTTAAGAAAATCTCTACTTTTGGAAAATCTCCTCTCTCCTTGTGTGGGGAGAAAGTCTCAAAGCCAAACAATAGAAACATCATCTGCTACATGGAGGTTTGGGCTAGCATTCGGTCCCGGCTCTAATTTGCCCTTTGAACAGTCAGTTCATGATTTGCCTCAGTGCTCTCTGTATAAAAGTGAGAATGATACAGAGTTATAGTGTAGACATAATCAGATAATGAAGCATTTAGCACTCTGCCATAAGGTGGGAAAGCATGCTAATTAATGCAGACTTTATAAACAAACTCAGGTCTTGGAAGAATCACACTGTACACAGTCTTTTACTGTTTTAGAAAGGGGATGTATGTACCAAAGGGGAATGTATATGCCATAATCCATTCCGATTTGTGTTGTTGAATGAATTTGCAATGGGGCACATTGTAACAGTGCTAGTGTATATAAGACTAATTTACAGTCATCCATAGAAGTGAGTACATAATAAAGCATATAAGAGTCTTTTTATTCAACATTTTGTTGTTCATTTGATCCCTTTAAAGTTCAGGATCACAAACTTTTGCAGGTGCTGAAGAAGTATTTCTCTGAGCTCTGGGTGAGGAATGTAGCCTGTCCTCAGTCAATGACACAGAAACACGTGTTAAGATCTACACAATTCTTTTTTTGCTAAAAGTTCCTATTCTTCATATTCTCAGTATAACTCCACTGACATCAAGTATACAGCATAGACTCAAACAGAACAGAAACAGTAGTACTTTAAATCTAGATCTTCTCTGAGGAAGTTTGGGTGCCCCATGAATTTGAAATTAGAACTGGGACTGACATCAGACCAACTCTTTGTGAAACCAAACCAAGGCCGGGAAGGACAGTGCAGTACTCTCACATCTTGTATGACCTTAATTCTACACAAAAAGCCTGCAGTTTCCATCATCTACAGAACAACAACAACAAAAAAAGCTTTGCTTCACTGCAATTCCACGTTGCAATGAAATGTCTGCCAGTACAGGCCCATATAAATTTTCATTCAGCATGAATTTGTTCTTTTCCTTTTGTTTTGTTTTGTTGAGATCAAGAAAGGTAAACCCTTTTTAAATGTCAAAGAAGCTCATAATGATCATTTTGAATTCTGCATCACAACTTGGTTAATGGGAATATAACAAATACAGCAGTCCCATGTCAACTATGGTCAACTATCTTGACTTCGATAGCAGTGTGTGTGAAAACTTTTTTGATGCTCTGGAACTGTTCTGACATGTTCAAGCCATTTCGTGATCATCTCCAGTTTTATTTAAGTAAATAGTTTGAAAAATACAGATTAGATGAAAATCAGCCTTCATTTCTAAGAGGCTTTGAATAAAAAATTGAAATAATTATTCTACTAATGAGCTTATCATTTGATTTTACCAGATGATCAATCTTATTTTGTTTTTGTTCAGTTTGTAAGTGTAATATAACAACTGGAATATATAACTTCCAAGTTAAGGAAATGCTTAATAATAAGGGTTGACTTGATAGAGAAATGAGTACTTGTTCTGCTAGATACTCCTATTCAGAAAACTTGTTCATGCTGAGCCCATGCTCGTTAGGTCAACACTCTATTCCAACAATATGCTAATCAATGCCTTTCCAAACAACAAACTCACAGCTATTTTTCTCCTGTGGGGAAAGTCAAAAAGCCTATAAAGCTTTTATTGACTTTAGGCTCAGGGTTTAGAAACAACTTGCTGAGTTCTGAGCATTGTATTGTCTGAATTCAGTACCAAGACGCTGGTGAGTGAACAGTTTTCTCCTTTTTGGTAGATGTCACAAGTCAATAAGAACTACCCCATGGGCATAAAATAAATTTGACCAGTCAAAAAAGTAATTTGGCAGCTAGTTCTATAAATAACCTGAGTGATTCTTTTTAAAAACAATTGTAAAGTAGCAGTAGCTACACATTTCCTACTTGTTCTTCCAAATACATCACCTTTCAGAAATAAAAATATATTTAGAGAAAAGGGAGATATTCACTTGAAAAGTGCCATGAAAACTGTTGTCAGTTTTTTTTCATTTTTTATTTTGTCATTAAAAAGGGAAAATATCATTTTTATGAGGTGCCTAGCTGAGGTCAAGGTGACTTCGTTATGCCCAGGTGACCAAGAAAACCAATGGCATTCTGTTCTGCATTAGAAATAGCGGAGCCAGCAGGGCTAAGTGGTTGTCCCTCTTTTCTCAACACTGGAGAGAACACATTTCAAAACTCATGTGTTCATTTTCGAGCCCCTCACCACAAGAACAACAGTGATGCTTTGTTTCACATGTATTATCATTAGCTGTGTAAAAGATTCTTTTCCTTGTATTGAAATCAGTCAGTCATATCATATGAAAGCCCTAAGGTAAAGAAATTTCTTTCTTAAGGTAAGAATTTAAAGCTACTGTACCTCAATCAATGTTTGCCTATAAATCATTATTATAAAGTTTAATCCTAATAACTTGGCCATAGGAAAACCTATTTCCCCTTTTTTTGGGAAGGCAGGGGAAGTTGAGAGAGATTTGTCAGTTTTTCAATACATGAGACTTTTTTACAGGCCAGGAGGCTATGCAGAAGGCTCACAGTTGAGGCACAATCACTTATTCAGAGGTTGTTTTTGGAAGCTGCCTACTGTCTCGGAAAAAAAAAAAAAAAAAAAGAAAGAAAAAGAAAAAAAAGACGACATTACATTTCACTTTTGGGTACTGGTTAAATTTCAGTTTGGATGGAACCCACTTGCTCCCTTGCTTTTTTTCCTGAGTTTTGCTTGATCTGTGCCCATACAGGGCACTCATTTCAGTACTCAGATGCATATTCTATTTCTGTGTTACAGGTATCAAAATTATTGCCATTCCTTTGCACTACTACCCAAATAATTTGCATTAGTAAAGGGTATGTAAGTGGTGAGGGACACCAATGAATAGTCATTTTTAATTGTGTGAAGTATGGAATTAAATGCATCTGAGCAGCGTTGTCTTATGCAGAGCTGAACCATGTACATTTTACTGAAAGACCTAAGATTTAAGTGTGTGGAGATTTATATAGAATTTGGGCAAGCTGTTGGCAAATCTAAATCTCTCTGGAAAGGGCATGAAGTGGATTATATCTTGTCCATGATTCAACCCATGTTGCTAAGCCATTTGGTTAAACAAGATTTAATTAGTAAAGATCACAGCTTGATAAAAGCAAAGATATGGA